AGGAAACCCAGGACAGCTGTCATGGCATCAGCTTAAACTAGAGCATAGGCAAGGATGTAAATATAAAGAAGATGCATACTAAGTAAGTGATTAACCTCCCTAGCGGTCTGATTATGTCCATATTTCTGTGCTCAAAGCGGTACATTTTTTTGCATGGAAATATGTATTTTTTTTATTGTAGGCCTGTAATTTTTAGGAATAACTCACTGAAACCTGTCCAAACAAGAGTCTAGTAAACATCCCGGGTATGTGAAAATTTGAAACACGAAATCATACATTATAATTTAATAAATAATTATAAAAAAATAATATAATAATAATAAATTTAATTCAATAATATAATCAAACCAAAAACACTGAAATTTTAAATATAGCGCCAAGTTCGCACATCACTGAGCAAAGTCGCAAAATCGTTTTCAGTGTCTGATGACGAATTTCCCCACGAATCATTTATCACTTAATTCTGCAAGTGGTTCTGATTTACTATCACTGTTCTCTAGCTGGTCTAAAACCGCTTTTGACCTAAAGGAACACCCTTTGGACGCCATGGACGTTTCTCAGTTTCCAGGCAATAAGAACAGTAAAAATGTAGGCAGGGCACAGGACAAAGCACTAGGGACAAAATGTATGTGAAATGGTTTGATACAGTAATGGTTTACTATGTGATTTTAGTGTATTTAGTGAACGTCACTTTTTGTTATTTTCAAATTTACCGCCAGTTCCGTCCCCCGTACGTCCCGACGCTCACAGGGGACGGAACCCAGATGATGGCATCCACCGGATTACATTGCCGGGGACACTGCAAGAGGGACATTGCGGGAGCGCAGGACAAGGTAAGAGAAGAACAGATCCCGGAGCAGCGCCGCATGGTGAGCCCGAGTGTAGCTCGGGGTTACCGCTTTTGATACTGAAACCTTACCCCAAGCTACACTTGGGAATACCGCCAGGGAGGTTAAATCAGCTGCTGAAAGTGTTTAAAGAAACTGAGGGTTTAAAGGATAAGTTCACCTTTTAGACAAAAATAATAAATGTACATATTTTTGCATGCCATGCAATGCAAGTAGTCCTGCAGACCTGTCAGAATATCTGCTTGCCCTACGGGATGTAGCAGATATTCTGACAGGAAGCTTCAATAAACTACCACGGTGCTCCACAGCGCTGTGGTAGTTCACTGAAAACCACAAGCTGACATCCGCTAAAACTGCCGAAACTTGCAGTTCATTCATTCATCGAAGTCCATGAATGAATGATGCGGCCATGTGGGCTGATCCCTGCATGGCCGCACTGTTTTTAAATTTGACAGATAGTATGGGCAGACTTCTCCCCGAACTATCTGTCAGAAGGAGGGGGGGCGGCAGGCGGTGGCTGAGGCTATGGGAACATGTTACATGTTCCACCCTAAAAATGGGTGAACTTCCCCTTTAATATCGCTCAAAATTCTGAGCAAATAGGCTGTTTATCTCAAGTTTTTTTTTAGTTTTGACTGCATAATACCAATACCAAGAGGGTCATGAGTTAGTCCTCATGCACACTGGTACATTTTCAAATGCTGTTTCTTCTGACAGGAGGAAATCAGCATTGAAAAATCACCTAAGCTGTGTTTTTTCAAACCAGTTTAGCAGTGTTTAACAGCATTTGGTGTCTGGGCATTTATTTATTTAATTCACCAGAATTTTAATTTATTCTGACAATTAAATTGAATAAACGCTGAGGTGCTAATTTTGTCTAGCGTTTAGGTGCGTTTAGCAGAGTGAAGCATTTTTTTTGGCCAAAACTCTGCTGCTCCTGGACTTACTGGCAGTGGTTTTCTTCCTGCTTCTAAACTTTCCGGCCACTAAATGCTGTTAAAAAGCTATGTGCGCATGGACATATAAGATAACATGCAGGGGAACTTAGAGAAGGGAAAAAAATAAAACACCTGATAACCCTAGGAGCAGCTGTAAAAATGTCCCAGTTGAGGCCTTTAGGGCTCCATGTACACAGGGCATTTGGAAAACTCTTCTGAACGATAGAAACTGACTGTTGGAAAACGTAGGTTAAAAACGTCAGCTTAGTCGTGTTTGCATACCTCGTTTATGTGCATTTAGCCGCGTTTATGTGCATTTAGCCGCGTTTATGCACGTTTGCGTTCAGAAGCGTTTTTAAAAGATAACCTCAGGAAACCCTCTCAAATGCCCAGAATACACTGAAAAATAGTAAATAATTAACTATTTCAGACATTTTGAGAGGAATAGAGAGAGCAGAAGCAGAGAGAGCAGGATGTGTTGAGATTACCTGTCTTTTCTGCTTGTATTCACTATGGATCCCATCATGAGCATAATGCAGCACGTTCTACCATTTTTCCTTCATGCAAAACCTGCAGCTGACTGCACTGGTGCACTAGGTCTATTTGAATACATGAAAAATGCTTTGCATGCATTTCTGATGATGAAAAAGGGCTCTGGACAGCACTGGATAGGGAACAGTTAAAAAACGCTCCTAAACGCAATTGTTTATAAATGCAGTTAACCGCGTTTGCACACGTTTACAAGCATGTGGCGTTTGAAACGCCGGTAAACTACTCCTGAACGCAAGTTTTATGCGTTCAAAAAAACGACTGTAAACTCAACTGCCTATAAATGACTGTAAACAACTATGTGTACATGGACACAGGAAAACATTAGGGAGAGTTTGGGGCTGCTGAAAAAAATGCTGAACAGCTCCTGAACCCCAGTTTAGCAGCTGCAGTGTACATGAGAAAACCTCCATTGAGAGAAGGTTGCCATTGCCGTACAGATACAATAAAATAAACAATATCCTTGTTGACTGAGAGTGTAAAGCAATTACACCAATAGGTAACATACAAACCTGAATAATAACTAAAACATAAAGTGTAGCGCCAAACATATGATAATAAAACTGAAATATACCAAAACAAATTAATGTCCGGGATATCAAAAAACAATAGTGCAAAAAAAAAAAAAATTAAAATAATGTCTATCCACCACCATAAAGTGCTCTTGCTTGCAGCAAAACAATTCAACTCAAGATTGCCATCACCGTCTCCCAGTGAATTAAAGATTCACCAGAAATGATGGCTACCACTAGAACAACATAAACGCCCATGTGTTTAAACAAAGATTCCAAAGGCACATGTATCTTGACATGAGACTCTGTTGGTGGGTGTCATTCTGTCTAGTCGGACTGTAGTAAAATTATTATTATTATACAGTATTTGCTCAGCACTGTACATTATAATGGGAGACAGTACACGAGACAGTACAGTAACAATACAATAATACACGAGGGGTTCGAGGGCCCTGCTCCTTGGAGCTTACAATCTAGGAGGGGGGGGATAATGGTACAGGAGGAAATAGCTGTGGGGATGGAGTGGTAGGAAGAGCGAAGGAGATCAGCAATTAGGTGAGGGCGGGGTAGGCTTCCCTGAAGAGATGGGTTTTCAGGGTGCGCCTAGAGGTGAGGAGGGTAGGTGACAGTCTGATGGATTGGGGTAGTGAGTTCCTGTCAGGAATGGACTTGCCAATAATGGTGGGACTCACCTGCCTTGTGGGCTGCAGTACCAGGGCTGGCCAGCGGTGCTCTCAGCAATCAGAGACTCAACCCTGCAGTCAGCCAAACACCTGAGGCTGATTGCAGGTGTATTTAAGGGATGGCCAGACCTGCAGTCTGTGCCTTTGTGTGTGTTTTTCCAAGGGCCCCTGTATCTTGTTACCTGCATTCCTGTTCCTGTCTGACTGATTTGTTGCCGACCCTGCCTGATCCGGACCTCTGCTGACTTCTCCTGTTTGATCCCTGGCTTGTGACCCCGACCATTCTCTGCCTGACCCCCTGTACCTACCTGCCCGTTAGTTGCTGTACCCGGCTCATGACCTGACTACTCTCTGCCTGCTCCTCCTGTTCCTACCTGCCCGATTGTTATTAACCCGGCCTGCCTGACTACGCTTGCATTGTATGTATTGTTATCTGTTGGTGGTTTGGTTTGGTTCGTTTGCACTGTGTTATGTTTTAGTATTGCACTGCGTTTATGTATTGTTAGTATTAATAAATTATATTGTTTATAACATATCTGAAGCCTGCGTTTCCCTGCGTCAGTTCACATACCTCTGGTCATACCCGGAGCCCTGACATTACACCAAGGCCAATACTGACCAGAAGTGGCTGCACAGGGAAGCCATCTTGGCTTGTTGCTGGGAAGGATGGATCTTGATGAGGTTGTGTATTTGTCGCTGCTGGTTTTTGATGACAGAGAATATGCTTATCAGACTCTGAGGGAGTATACCCGGGATCAACTGCTAGAATGTATACGGATCGCTCATATTCTAGTAGATCAGGGTACAGAGTTCTCTGAGGTGCAACCTTTGATTCAGGTTTGTGTAGAGTTGGCTTCATCTGGTACCCCTGAAAGCAGGAATGACTTTTTGCCACCATTTAGTGCAGACCAGGTAGAGTCCCTGGTATGGTTATTAGAGGATGATGTGGATTGCTTCTTGGAGCATTATGCTGCATGTTCACCACAGGTATTAAGGGATTGTATAAACGCAGTGCAGTCTTTGACCAGACAGGCTTTGTGTAAGCTCAGCTTTGTTCAACCCATACTGCAGACATGGTCAGACTTGTTGCACCCAGCCTCAGTCAGCTTGCAACGTCATTCCTCTGCTCAAAGCACTCTTCCTGCATCCCCGACAGCACCCCCAGTGACGGCCCAGTATACTATGCTAACTACCACATACCAGTCCCTTGCTCCCACTCGCTGCACCTATCCTTTCTTTGGCCTTGTGGAGAGGTCCTCTGTGGCGGCTGCTCCCTCCTCTGTTCCATCTTCCAGCTCTTCTCTGTCCTCAGCTGCTCCATTCGTTTGCAGACCTGCATTTACTTGCAGTGCTCCAGTAGTTAAAACCAGAAAAAAGCGAAAATTCTTTCCAACCAGTACCATCCTGCCAGTATCCAAACCGGTGAGCCTGCCGTCTGAGAACCTGCCTTCCATGGTTCAGCCTGGTGCCTCGGCACCCGCACTTCAGCCTGATGTCTCTACCCAGCCTGATGTCTGTACCCAGCCTGATGAACTGATCCAGCCTGATGATCCTATCACGCCTGATGACCTAGTGCCCGCTCTCATGCCTGGTGACCTGATGCCCGCTGTCGAGCCAGACGATCCAATGCCTGATGACCCAGTGCCCGCTGTCATACCTGGTGACCCGATGCCCGCTGTCGAGCCAGACGATCCAATGCCTGATGACCCAGTGCCCGCTGTATGCCTGGTGACCCGATGCCCGCTGTCGAGCCAGACAATCCAGCGCCAGATGACCCGGTGCCTGTTGTCGAGCCAGACGATCAGGTACCTGATGACCCGGTGCCCGCTGTCGTGCCAATTGACTCGGAACCCACTGTCGTGCCTGGTGACTCAGTGCCCACTGCCTTGCCAGATGACGCGGTGCCCACTGGCGAGCCAAATGACCTGATGCCTGGTGACCCGATGCCCGCTGTCGTGCTCCGCCTGGGGGCCCGGCGCCCGCCGCTCTGCCTGGGGGCCCGATGCCTGCCGCTCCGCCCGGGGGCCCGGTGCCTGCCGCCCCTCCTGGGGGCCCGGTGCCCGCCGCTCCGCCTGAGGGCCCACTGCTCCGCCTGGGGGCCCGGCACCCGCCGCTCTGTATGGGGGCCCGGCGCCCGCCGCCCCGCCTGGGGGCCCGCTGCTCCGCCTGGGGGCCCGCGGCCCGGTGCCCGCCGCCCCGCCTGGGGGCCCTGTGCCTGCCGCTCCTCCTGGGGGCCCTGTGCCTCTGCCCGGAGTCCAGCCCGATGTGCCTCTGCCCGGAGTCCAGCCTGATGTGCCGCTGCCCAGAGTCCAGCCCGATGTGCCGTGCCCGGAGTCCAGCCCGATGTGCGCTGCCCGGAGTCCAGCCCGATGTGCCGCTGCCGGAGTCCAGCCCGATGTGCCGCTGCCCGGAGTCCAGCCCGATGTGCCGCTGCCCGGAGTCCAGCCCGATGTGCCGCTGCCCGGAGTCCAGCCCGATGTGCCTCTGCCCGGAGTCCAGCCCGATGTGCCTCTGCCCGGAGTCCAGCCCGATGTGCCTCTGCCCGGAGTCCAGCCCGATGTGCCAGTCTTTGATATCCCGCCAGTTACCAGACCTGGGAGGGTGGAACATTTTGCCCAGCTAGGACTTTGTGGAGCATCCTGAGGCTGCTTCTTGAGGGGGGGGGTACTGTCAGGAATGGACTTGCCAATAATGGTGGGACTCACCTGCCTTGTGGGCTGCAGTACCAGGGCTGGCCAGCGGGTGCTCTCAGCAATCAGAGACTCAACCCTGCAGTCAGCCAAACACCTGAGGCTGATTGCAGGTGTATTTAAGGGATGGCCAGACCTGCAGTCTGTGCCTTGGTGTGTGTTTTTCCATGGGCCTCTGTATCTTGTTACCTGCATTCCTGTTCCTGTTCCTGTCCGACTGATTTGTTGCTGACCCTGCCTGATCCGGACCTCTGCTGACTTCTCCTGTTTGATCCCTGGGTTGTGACCCCCGACCATTCTCTGCCTGACCCCCTGTACCTACCTGCCCATTAGTTGCTGTACCCGGCTCGTGACCTGACTACTCTCTGCCTGCTCCTGCTGTTCCTACCTGCCCGATTGTTATTGACCCGGCCTGCCTGACTACGCTTGCATTGTATGTATTGTTATCTGTGGGTGGTTTGGTTCGTTTGCACTGTGTTATGTTTTAGTATTGCACTGCGTTGATGTATTGTTAGTATTAATAAATTATATTGTTTATAACATATCTGAAGCCTGCGTTTCCCTGCGTCAGTTCACATACCTCTGGTCATACCCGGAGCCCTGACAGTTCCAGAGGATGGAGGAAGCCCTGGAGAAGTCCTCGAGATGGGCATTGGAGGAGGAGACTAGGGAACTAAAGAGTAGGAGGTCTTGTGAGGAGCGGAGAGTACGTTTTGGGTGGTAAATGGATATCAGGTCGGTGATGTAGTTTGGGGCAGTGTTATGAACAGCTTTGTACGTTAATGTTAGTAATTTGAATTTTATGCTTTGGGCAATCGGAAGCCAGTGGAGGGATTGGCAGAGGGGGGGTGGCGGATACGGAGCGGTTAGTAAGGTGGATGAGTCTGGCCACAGAATTCAGGATAGACTGAAGCGGGGATAGTCTCTGATGAGGTAGGCTGGTGAGGAGGGAGTTACAGTAGTCAAGTCGTGATATAATAAGGGAGTGAATGAGTTGCTTTGTAGTTTCTGGGGTTAGGAATGGACGTATTTTGGAGATGTTGCAGAGGTGGAGTCTACATGAATTTTTCAGCGATTGGACCTGGGGCTGGAAAGACAGATTGGAGTCTAGAATGACCCCTAGTCCTCTGGCTTGCGGGGGGTGGGGCTGATGTTGGCATTGTTGGTCGTGATGGAGAAGTCGGGGGGGGCGCAGGCTGGGGGGAAAACTAGGATCTCGGTTTTGGAAAGGTTTAATTTGAGGAAGTGGAGTGACATCCAATCCGATATGTCATTCAGAAGGCTAGTAATTCGGGCAGAGACTGAAGGGGCGAGGCGAGGGGTGGAGAGATAGATTTGCGTGTCATCGGCATAGAGATGGTAGTTGAAGCCGTGGGAGTGTATCAGTTGGCCAAGGGTGGAGGTGTAGATGGAGAAAAGAAGGGCCCGAGGACAGAACCTTGAGGGACCCCAACAGAGAGGGGATGTGAGGGGGAGGTGGCAGCATTATAGGTAACACTGAAGGAGCGCTGTGATAGATAGGAAGAGAGCCAGGAGAGAGCAGAGTCTCGAAGGCCAAGGGAGTATAGTTTTTTTTTTGAGGAGGGGGTGGTCGACTGTGTTGAAAGCCGCGGAGAGGTCGAGGAGTAGGAGCACTGAGTAGTGGCCATTAGCTTTGGCGGTTAGCAGGTCGTTGGTGAGTTTGAGTAGGGCAGTTTCGGTGGAGTGTAGGGGACGGAATCCAGACTTTAGGGGATCAAAGGAGGTTGTTGTCGGTGAGGTGGGAACTCAGGAGATTATAGACTAAGCGCTCAAGGAGTTTGGATGTATATGGCAGCAGGGAGAGGAGTCTAAAGTTGTTTAGGTTGGTGGGATTGAGGGAGGGTTTTTTAAGTATGGGAGTGATGTGCACGTGCTTCAGAGGGGAGGGGCTGCCCTAAGCAACGCTAAGCAAAAGAACTCTTCTGAATGAATGTGAACACTTACTACAATGGACTCACTGAACAAGTTAAAATACATTGTAAATACTGTCACTTAACAATCACAGCATTAGAAAAGAATACTAACACTTTAATATTCTATAGATTAAAGTCATATTACAGGTTTGCAGAAAGTATGAAAAGAACACCGTAACATGTTCAACAATTGGCATGGTGCATGACTTCAGTCCATTGCCATCACACAGCATTCATATTCTAAATTTTTTTATATTGCTCTTGTTTCACAGAGGAAGAGCAATAGAGGGCTTGGCTAAGTGGATCACTTCATTAAAGATTTGTTTTTCTTTCTTTTAGTACAAATACATTTTTTTTTTAATTAATGGTTATTTTTTTTCTTTAGTAGTATTCTAGTAGGGAAGCAGAAACAGTTGTTAAGGCTTGTAATAGAATGACGTAAATGAATAAATGAAAAAAGCTATTCCTAGCATATCTTAACATTTATGATGTTGACTATTGGGACATCAATTTTTCATAAAGAGCTTTGTACTGCAGCAAAAGGCTTTTTAAACAGTGTTGGGGGTGCATTTGTAAGCTGACCTGACCTACATAACTTTATAATAGATCTTTTTTTCAGGGGGAAAGTGGGGGAATGCAGTTCCAGCACTTCCAGCTCTGAATGTATGAAACGGAAAGGGGTGCTGGGTGTGACGATCGCGGCGTCAGACTCTAGCCCTTCTCACCAAACTCGTGACTGAGGGACTAGCCAATCTAAAACTGCGCTGTCACGTGCATAACAATGCCACGCCCAGCTGCACCCTGCACAAAGATTTTTCAGCTAATGGACCACAATCTGTGTACTTGCAGCCTGGGAGCGATTGTTACTGGGTCAGGTTAATTACGCCATTAACCCTTCACACTGCCACCACCTCCTTTTTGTACAGAGAAAGAGGAAACTCGGCAATATCAGCAATAACACTATGATGTTGAATAATCGTCTGTATACCACTGTCACCGCAGGCAGGGTATACAGAGGTTTAAAAACACACAGTAGCACTTTTCAGAGACAGGGGTTCTTAGTTTTCATTAAAGAGCTTTAGAAACTGTTCAACACTTTCAGAAAGTAAGATTTATTACTAAAAGGTCAAAAGGGTGTAATAAAAATATTTGCAGAAAAGATGTAGCCAGTATATATATATATATATATATATATATATATATATATAAATATACAGAGAGCAATACCACAGCAAAGAGATAACAGAAAGAAGTTTAGAGAGAGATGAAGTACTTGCCGTCATCCTTGGTTTAAGCAGCTTTCAAGTGTCAGAGCAAAAGGGCCTTATCTCCCAAAGTTAGTTCCGATGTTAAAAGGGAGCTTCTTCAACTTCAACTCAGCTCAGCTTTGCTTAACTTTTCTAGCAACTCAGCAGGGTGTCTCCCTGAAGCAGAGAACCAATTGCCTCATTTGGGAGGGAGTTGTGCTCGGAGGCCCCAGCTAGAACCAGAATATCTCACAGGTTGATACCAGGGCAATAACTTTCCCTGGATACATATAACATTCTATCCACGAGTAGATTAATATGCAGAATCACCTGGCGAACGTCTAGATATAAAATATGACATACCTGCTGGAACGGTTAAGGAGATATCATTTTCTGTTCTCCTGTAGATGTCAGCTAGGGGGTGTAATATATCAGGCGACTTGTATTAAAGTGACCAATCTGAAGTTATGCATGGTTTTTATGTAAGTCTTTAATATTCCAAGATATGAAATCATAGGGGAAAATGGATCTTGAATGTGATGTCTGGTTTACGATTTATCTGGAATGTCTTTGAAGCTCAGTGAGGACTTGGTTTATGGCTTTACGATCCCTTTCCAAGAAAGAGTCTCGCAGACATACGGGGGCCAGGCTAATTGGGGTTTATAACCATGAGCTCTCCCGCTGGGCCTTGATGCCTTTGATCTCTGCATCAAACAGACCCCATGTCACTCAACAGAGAGGGAGGGGGGGATTTTTGAGGAAGCTGATTTGGGAGTAGAAAATGATACAAGATGGAGGCCTTTGCCAAAATGGAGGTTCGCATCCATCTCTGTGTGCACGATTGCTACACTGGGGTGTGCTAGAAGGTCTATTGATGCTGGCTGCTGGGGGATGTATTGTCACTGGAGGGGACCTATGTTTCTGGGGAGGTTACTGTTTCTAGTGGGGGATCTATTGTTGTTGGGGGGTCAATTGATGCTGGAAGTGATCTACTCTTGAAGGAGGGGTTAATTGATGCTGGCTGCTGGAGGGTCTATTGATGCTGGCTGCTGGGGGATCTATTGTAGCTGCTGGGGTCTTTTGATGCTGGGTGGTATTTTGCAGAAATCTATTGTTTCTGAGGTAATATATTGTTGCTGGAGAGGGGTCTATTGCTGCTGGCTGAAAGAGATATATTTTACTGCTTTTCTTGTTATCATTAACAAATTCCATAGAAATGGCTTAGCAGCACAAAATGTTACTTGGTTCTGTTGTTTCTCTTAAAGGAGGCAGTATTGGGATGTGGGTAGGGGGTGGAACCAAGG